ATATTTATTAAATTTATTAGGATTCTATTTATCTTTTTGTTAGACGACTAAAAAATATTTTTCCCTTTGCTTGATGGATTTTCAGTATGAAACTGCCTGGATAATTACTAATATAGCTGTAAGCATTTATTTATTCAATTCGGTTAATATTATGTCTTTGAACAATTTGGATTTATTATCTTTCTAACTTTGACTTTTCAGGCTGGTTCTACGCAGCATACACAAGCTTTAGTCGCCGGTGATGTAACCCAACACCTTATCAAAGTTCTTACCACGTCAACGAATATTGAAGTTCAGACGCAGGTAAGATTCTATTTATTTATTTATTTCCTTATTTATTTATTGATTTCCCTATTAGCGTTAATTTTCAATTTCAATCAAAATATGTCTTCTTAAATGGTTGTACTGGTAATAACAGATTATATGGGCATTAGGCAATATTGCCGGTGATGGCGCCGTTTTCAGAGACATTATATTATCGGCTGGAGTGATCGAACCTTTACTCTATATTTTAACACATTACGATAAATACGATTACATGGCCGTTAGGATAACAGTCTGGGCAACCGCAAATATGTGTCGTGGATGTCGTTGTTCGGATCCTTCATGGTCTCTGGTAAGCATTATAGTATATACTTGGTTAAATCTTTATAATATTTATAATATTTGTGATTTTTTCTTAATTTTTTAATTATAATATTTTAATTATAATATTTTATTTATAATATTTTATTAATATTAAATTAGATTACTCCTGCTTTTCCAATTTTGGGTAACATGGTACAATTGAACGATATCGAAATTATATCTGATGCTTGGTGTGTTTCTTGAAAGAATCCTGTGTGAAATGTTGGTGTGGCAGATTTGGTAATAATACGAAGTTAATCTCTGTTCCACTCTGTTATTAGTTGGGGCATGTCGAGAATTTTGAATGGAACGCATAAGCATAGAGAGCATGCTTTAGTTAGTGACTGCACACTATGCCATCGATTAGTGCAACTTCTGAGGTTAAAATTCTTTCCGTATTATACGAGCTTTATATATATATATATATTATATATATATATTTATATCTTTGAAGTAAATTTTACACTTTTTTTTTTTTTCCTTTGGCAGTGAGGAGAGTCTTACGTCTACTGTACATTTACCTGTATTGCGAACTTTAGTTAATATAGCGTCCGGTGCAGGTTTGTATTTATAATTATAATATATATAATATATATACATATTATTTTTGTTATAAATTTCAACTGAAAATTACTGAAAATTATTATTATAGAGAAACAAACGCAGTCAGTTATCGATGCTGGTGCATTGACCGTTTTGACGTCATCATTTTTGACAACGAAAAACTTGACACTACGGCGTGATGCATGTCTAGCGGTTTCCAATGTGGCTGCTGGTACATATAAACAGGTACTTGAAATAGTTTTAAAATTTTGCCGATTTTCATTTTCAATCTATTTGTCTCTATTTGTCTCTATTTGACTAATTATATTTCATTTATTCAGGTAAATGCTGTCCTTACAGAACCTAACCTAATAGAGAGTATTGTCGCTTTACTTTGGGATAGCGACATGAAAGTGGTTAAAGAAGCTTGTTGGGTTCTTAGTAACTCTACTAGTTTACATAATCCTGGTCATATTCAGTTCGTATAGATTTTTTATACTTATATATATATTTTTAATTTACTACCTATAATTACCATTAATTATCTTTAATTATCTTTAATTATCTTTAATTACATTAATTACCATAATTAACTTATTTAAATG